CAAATTTCATGTTTTACTGAGCGTCGAGAGAAAGAAACAGTCGCTGGTTAAAATAGATCTATCGAAAATAGCGCCCAGAAAATTCTGTTCTTTGTGAGCAATAACAGTTCATTACGGAAAACAACAAACATTCGGTACGATGAAAAGCAACTGAAATTAAGATGGAAGAAATAATAGCCATAAAAAAAAAAATGATGATGGCGAGACGTAGTTTATCTTCTTATCCAAGTCGTGGATGTAGTTTAACGTCTTACCCAGGACGCGGATGTAGTTTAACGTCTTACCCAGGACGCGGACGTAGTTTATCGTCTTACCCAGGACGGTGTGTAAGATGTAAAATCAGTGAGTTATGCGCCATGTGTGATACACGCTTAGGCGATCATGTATCTTTCGATACATGACTGATGAGGCAGATTTTTTTCCCGCAGCAGGTTGCCATTTCTTTCTGCGGTAGACCAGTTGCCATCCAAGGCTATAGAACCCAGTCCGTCCTGCTATTTACTCATAGCTGGAGGGAGAAGAATAGGATTCATGGAAAAATTTTTAATCGAAGACGTGTTTCGTCAGAGTAAAAGCTTAGTTTATGTTCTCATTGGGGTCATCAGTTGGAATAACTTAGACAACTAACTGACGACGGCAATGAGAACATAAGCTAAGTTTTTTTTTCTCCGGCGAAACGCGTCTTTGATTAAAGATTTTTCACTCGCCATCTTCACTTTTTTCGGTTAATATACATTTTATGCTAATACCCTTGGGAAAGGTATGAATCCTCTTCTTCTCCCTCCGCCAAAACGACGAGTACAGTGCAGAACAGACCAGGTTCTATAGACTTGAATCGCAACTGATATACCACAGAGAGAAATGGTAGGCTACTTTTGGAAAAAAAAATCTGCCTCGTCAGTCATATATCGACAGATACATGATCGCCTAAGTCTGTACCACGCATGGCACATAACTGACTAGGAAGCACGGATTGAGGAATCGGAGAGCCGAGTTCGAATTCCAGTCGCAACCATTACATTCACTTACGTGCTAATACCCTTGGGAAAGGTATGAATCCTATTCTTCTCCCTCCAGCTATGAGTAAATAGCAGGACAGACTGGGTTCTATAGCCTTGGATAGCAACTGGTCTACCGCAGAAAGAAATGGCAACCTGCTGCGGGAAAAATCTGTCTCATCAGTCATGTATCGAAAGATACATGATCGCCTAAGCGTGTATCACACATGGCGCATAACTCACTGATTTTACATCTTACACACCGTCCTGGGTAAGACGATAAACTACGTCCGCGTCCTGGGTAAGACGTTAAACTACATCCGCGTCCTGGGTAAGACGTTAAACTACATCCACGACTTGGATAAGAAGATAAACTACGTCCAACAGCAAGGCCTCTGATCAGGACGTTTTGAGGAGCGTGGAACCACCTCTTAATCGCTGGTGTTCCCAGGTCCACCCTGACCCGGGGTGGTAGCAAATATACAAATTTCTTGGCAAGTTTCATGCCTTACAAAGTGCCGGGAGAAAGAAAGAGTCGTGTGTGAGAGGCGCCTGCAAAACCATGTGCGAGTATTTGAAAGGGTCCGCAAGTCAATGATCCGACGTGTGCATGCGTGTGTATAAACATTGCGTAGGACATTTTTAATATCTGTTATAAGTTGTTGTTTTGAAGTACAACGATAGCCTTTGGGCATGTCTTTCTTGACATTTTACTTTAATTTGGTGTCACGATCGTTCCCCAAGGTTTGTCAAAAGTACTTTTGACACACCTATATATATATATATATATATATATATATATATATATATATATATATATATATATATATGTGGGTGTGTGTGTGAAAAAGTGTATATAAATATAAATAAATATATATATGCATAATTATTTATATATTATATGCGCGGTACTTATTAGAAAGCGCTCAATATCAGATATATATATATATATATATATATATATATATATATATATATATATATATATATATATATATAGTCACATGTAGCCACGATTTCATTAACCATATAGGCGTTAGGCTAAAAAGCACCCCAAAGTAAAATCTTAAATAAAAGAAAAATAAATAAATAAATAAAAACAGAAATTTAAGCAATGCTTCCAACTCGCGAGTGAATATATTCTATGATCAGCCATACACCTCCTTTTCTCTTCACAAATTCTTTCTCTCTTTCTCTACTCTTCCACCCACGAGCCAAGGGCCCGTGAACTTCTGATTCGCCGAAGCGAGAGTTCTGATGCTAAAACAACATTTTGGCCGGCCGGCAATTTTCCTGGATTTCTTTTCTTTTCACAAGGGTTCGAGGGTCCACAGCATCTCGTACAGGCGTTTCGTTGGGTTGATCAGTTTCATAGCAGGCATTTCACCCCTAGTCGACAGACTTTGCTGTCTTCTTCACCTCGGTGGGCGGTCTGACGATTTTTGCCCAGCGACGTTCAACTGCCGCTGGTCAGAGGGAAACTGAAAATCCTTTTTTAGATTTCCGCTGTCCTCAAAGACAGTCACGTGGGTTCCCTTCGTCCTTGACCGGGTACGCAGGAGGATAGGGCGCAAATCACGCAGTGCTTGTGTGATGGCCAAAAGTTCAACACATGCTCCGTGCGCCCCGATCACGTGAATCGCAGCAGGAGATCCTGATGGTGCCTGGGATTCACTCATAGTCAAACGCCCGATAGCTGCGAAATCTTGGAACCAGGTCATTCTCGCGTCGGGTCACTTCAAAGTTCACGGGCCCTTGGCTTGTGGGTGGAAGAGGAGATAAAGAGGGAAAGAATTTGTGAAGAGAAGAGGAGGTGTATGGCTGATCATAGAATATATTCGCTCGCGAGTCGGAAGCATTGGGTTAAATTTCTGTTTTTATTTATTTACTTATTTTTCTTTTATATCTAATTTTCTCTTTATTTAAGATTTTACTTTGGGGTGATTTCTACGTGACAATATATATATATATATATATATATATATATATATATATATATATATATATATCTTGCTAGCGAAAATAAATAAAGCAAAATTGGGGAAAGACGCTATTTTCAACGATGTAATTTTAGATAACAATTATATTTCACGTGTCTACACGCCTTTCTAAACCAGGATTTACTAATTGTTGATTAATATTTTGAAAAAGCGCATCTGCCCCAACATTTGCCTGCAGTGCTTTGGAGTAATTGAATGCAGAGATTTCGCATAGCTGTAAATAGAATTCTTCTAATTATTGATGAGGAGATTGTTCCACTTGCACCGCGTAAACTGGTATTCACCAGAGCACCACTACTTCCGGGTTTTTTCTGCAACCAGCTACGAGAGACTTGGTTTTTTTTATTACTGTTTTTAATCTGGACCATTTTCGAATCCCCGGAGATAAATATCAATGTGTTACTGCTCTAGAACAAGTTCACTGTGTCGTGTTTTCTCTTCAGGATTCATATTGCCCATTTATATATTTACCTCTTCGTCCGCGCATTGAATATTGCTGGTCTGGTACTCCTGTTATATATTTCAAGCTTCCCGACAAAATCCAAGAGCTGTCTGCAATGTTATTAATCTTGACCTGGCATCTCGACGTCAAACACTTTCCAACCGCCGTGTCGTGGCTTCTCTCTTTCTTTTCTATAAATATTTTCATCGCAATTGTTCTCCGTCCTGGGTATGACGATAAACTACATCCGTGTCCCGGATACAAAGAGGATAGAGGATAGACTAGAAATAACGATTCGATAACGATTAATAGAGGATAGAATAGAAATAACGATTCGTATAGTGTAAAGGATAGACTAGAAATAGAGATCAGTTCGACGCCAGCTACTTCCTACATATATACTTTTCCTCTATGGTCGCGTGGACCGCTTAATTCAAAAATGGGATCGCCTGTGTTTGCTCAGTGGCGATCTGTGTTCAAACTCAAGTGTCGGCAGCGACATTTTACTCCTATATAACATTTTGAGATTAAAAAAAAAAAAAAAAACTCCGGTAAGGCTGTTATGAATAAGATAGGGGATATAGCGATTGTCTAGTTTAGAACCAAAATAAATAAGTAAAATAAAATATAGTGGCTGAATCAGATATTAAATTATAAAGATTCTTGATTTCATATGCTTTATTAGATCAACTAGCAGCATGACCCGGCGTTGCCCGTGCTTGATTCAAACATCGTACGACTCATACAGCAATCACTATCACTTGACTAAAAATATTTTTGCCCTTCCTTGCCTTTAAAGGAGTGCCCTTTACCGTGCTGATGTTGCTACATGTCTTACTTCTTGCCTATCTCACAGTGCGAATTTTTTGTTAACTCTATACTAAACATTAAATCTGTTACGAAAAAAGAACTAAACAAATTGAATACAAAACGATCAGCTTTAAAAAAGGACTCGTAACTGGAAAAACCGAATGAAAAAAGAATGTTAACAACAAATACTTTTTCACACCCAACCCAGTTCTGCGGAATCAGAATCAACGTTGAGTTTAAGCAAGCGAATGAGCCAATTGGAGTAAAGTGCCATGCAGATTTAAATTTTTCCCCCACTTGTGACGAATGCAGCTATCGATTTTTTTTTTTGCATGCTAGTTAACATTCGTGTCAGTCAGCTGTTGGCTCTCACGCTGGCCAATAGAATCTTCCTGCCTATTCGTGGCAGCCAGCTATAGGCTCTCACTCTGGCCAGTAGAAAATGGCCGCAAACTACATGAAAACTTGCGTAGAAGCATGAAAAAATCGTTTATTTCCACTATCGATGGGAGTTGGGAAATGCAAGGTCGGTCTTGGCCTTCTCCGCTAATTTGGAGCAAGGGCATGTAAATTTTGGTGAAAATCTCTCTTATATCCGGGTTTCTCTTATATCCGGGTCTCTTATATCCGGGTTACACTGTAGTAATCACATGAAATTCAAGCGGTCAACCACCTAGGTACTGACCAGGCCTGACGTTGCTTAACTTCGGTGTTCGTACGGGAACTGATGTTTTGACTCGATGTTGCCGTAAGACTAAATGGAAAAAAAGAGGTGAAGAAAGCTTCAAGATGAAAGAAAAGAAAGCAATAAATAAAAGAAATACAAAGCGGTAAAGAACGCTTGAAGAGTAATGAAAAGGAAAATGAAAAGAAAGAAAGAAAGAAAGAAAGAAAGAAAGAAAGAAAGTGTGGGAATATTGAGAAAGAAAGAAAGAAAGAAAGAAAGAACTAAAAAGGTAAATAAAGCAAGAAAAAAAAAAGAAAAGCATAAGTGAATATAACTAACCTAGCGTGAGTGGAAGATAGAAATGATTTATTGATACAAGTCTTAATATTTAACCCATAGCTGGGGGTGGAGAATAGATGGATTCATGCATTTCCCAAGGGTATTTGCGTATAAGTGAGACCTAAATAAAGAAAAAGACAATAGATAGATAGATAGATAGATAGATAGATTGCGATAGATAGATAACACATTGCGATAGATAGATAGATATATAGATAGATAACAACAGGCTTAGATAGATAGATAGATAGATAGATAGATAGATAGATAGATAGATAACAGATTGCGATAGATAGATAGATAGATAGATAGATAGATAGATAGATAGATAGATAGATAACAGGTTGCGATAGACAACAGATTACAATAGATAGATAGATAGATAGATAGATAGATTGAAATAGATAGATAGATAGATAGATAGATAGATCAGCAAGAATGAAAAGGAAAATGAAAAGAAATAAATAAATAAAGAAAGAAGTTACAAGAGAAACATAAAGAAAGAAAGAAAGAACTAAAAAGGTAAAAAAAAAAGCAAGACAAAAATGAAAAGCATAAGTGAATACAACTAACCTAGCGTGAGTGGAAGATAGAAATGATTTATTGATACAAGTCTTAATAATTAACCCATAGATGGGGGTGGAGAATAGATGGATTCATGCATTTCCCAAGGGTATTTGCGTATAAGTGAGGCCTAAATAAAGAAAAAGACAATAGATAGATAGATAGCGATAGATAAATAGATAGATAGATAACAGATTGCGATAGATAGATATATATATATAGATAGATAGATAGATAGATAACTGATTGAGATAGATAGATAGATAGATAGATAGATAACAACAGGCTGAGATAGATAGATAGATAGATAGATAGATAAATAGATAGATAGATAACACATTGCGATAGATAGATAGATAGATAGATAGATAGATAACTGATTGCGATAGATAGATTGATAGATAACAACAGTCTGAGATAGATAGATATATAGATAGATAGATAAATAGATAGATAGATAACAAATTGCGATAGATAGATAGATAGATAGATAGATAGATAACTGATTGCGATAGATAGATAGATAGATAGATAGATAGATTGCGATAGATCGTTAACAGATTGCGATAGATAGATAGATAGATAGATAGATAGATAGATAGATAGATAGATCGTTAACAGATTGCGATAGATAGATAGATAGATAGATTGCGATAGATAGATAGATAGATAGATAGATAGATCGTTAACAGATTGCGATAGATAGATAGATAGATAGATAGATTGCGATAGATCGTTAACAGATTGTGATAGATAAATAGATAGATAGATAGATAGATAGATAGATAGATAGATAGATAACAGATTGCGATAGATAGATAGATAGATAGATAGATAACACAATGCGATAGATAGATCAACAAGAATGAAAATGAAAAGAAAGAAAGAAAGAAAGAAAAGGAAGCAAGCAAACAAGAAAGAAAGTAAGAAAGAAAGAATAAAGACATCTTCAAGACGAACGAAAAGAAAAGGAATGAAGAAAGAAAGAAGCTTCAAGAGATAGCAAAAAAAAAAAAAAAAAAGGAAGATTTAAAGAAAGATAGAAAGAAATTCCAAGAAATAAAGACTGAAAAAGGTCAAGAAATCTTGAAAAGAATGAAAGAAAGAACGAAAGAGGTAAAGACAATTGCAAAAGAAATAAAAAGCTTTAAGTGAATATATCGATCCCAACAGGAATTCGAACTCGGCTCTTCGATTAATAATTCCGAGCCATTATCCATTACACCACTCGCACATTCGAACTTACACTACCTGGCATTTCTAAGCAATCGTACTGACCAGGCTTGATGTCGCTTAACTTCGGTGATCCTACGATGTTTCAACTTGATAGGGCCGTAACCACGGAAAGATTGGCTTGAACGCTAAGCAACCAAAGTTCTGGTTTCTAAAGCCACTTCATCATTCTTCCCGTAAGAAGCGAGAATCAACAATCAATCGAACTCCTTTTAGAGAGTATAAGTTTTATTGAGCGACTAATGTCATTCTCCATTAAGTTATCTTAAGAGTAATTCTTAGCCTTCCGCGGGCCAAACAAAATGTTTTTGCCGATGTCTAGGCAATAGAGTTTCTCTTGTCGAAAACTGTCACTTTTTCCGCCACTAAACGATTAACTCAAGTCACCGTTTAAGGTGATTCTATTTCTGCGCAAAGCAAAAAGAAAAGAAAAATATTTCCGTATTTCTTAGCGATTGTAGATGGGGGGCTCCAGTCTGTATATCCGGCTAAATCTGACGCCCTGACGTCTTCTCTTAACAGTAAAAGGTTATCTTTATGCCATTTGGACTGAATCATTGTTTATTTCTACAAGAAAAATAGTTGTTTTAATCTTAATTCCGGGGAATGCGTTTAAAAAAAAAAAGCCTTGAAATTACAATTATCCCTCAAGTCGTTTCAGGGCTTGGTAGATCATGATTGATTGAATGCTGGATTTGTATTTTACGGATTATCAAGCTTTTATGGGATATTTCAAGCCAGAATATATTTTTACATTGTAAGAAGATTTTGAAGGTAATTTTTATTTCAATTTTATTTTTTGTAGATAATAATGATTTTAATTTTATTTACTTCTACTAATTAACCCATAACTTGTGGGATTAAGAAAAGATGTGGATTCATAGCTGTCCCAAAGGTATTTGCGCGTCAGTGAATATAAAAAAAAAAAAAAAAAACACGACTGAAATTAGAACACGTCTCTCCGATTTTCAATTCCGAGCTGTTATACACTGCACCACCCGCACGTGAGATCGTGGTTTTCCACAACGTCCTGTCTTTTGTTGCTCTATATAAAAAAAAAAAGGAAAAAAAATCGGAAAATAAGTCCAGTATTAAAGTCAAGTCCTCTGACAAGCAAATGTAATATCCACAAATATTTACTTTTATTTATAAATAATTTGTTACTTAATGAAAATCCTTGTTAAAGTCCGTCAGAGGACAAAACGCGTCGGTTAAGATAGGATTTCGCTTGTCTTTCTTCATATTGTTCTTTTAAAGATATATCGTAGTTATATCAGACAATTTCATCCACACACATACACACACACACACACACACACATATATATATATATATATATATATATAAATCATTAATGTATATATAAATATTAATCATTACAATGAATCATTTAAGGTTTAACTAGGTCGGCAATGTCTCCGTTCGGGATTTGAAGCAGCAATGAACCGATTTCTCTGGTCGGAAGTAGTGCCAGGGGTTGAAATTCATCGCAGACTTATACCACAATAAGGCGACAGTGCCATACCGCGTAGAAACGTGTATGAGTGGATCGAGAAGTTTAAAAATAGCCGGACAAGCGTGGCGGACGAAGAAGGGAGAAGGGCGACAAGACAGTAACGAGAAGATTCAGCAAGCTTGACAAATGCTAATGACAAACCGGCGAGTCATCACCGATGAGGTAGCATGTTCTCTGTAGATTCGGATCACTGCTCTTTTCTTCCTCCTTGGTGCACACTGCTAGAGGAGCGGCCATGTTTACATTGCAACTGCGGCAACAAAACTGGCGCGTTCAAGTTGAAACTTCGATCACGTGACCACAATGGTACCAACTTTAAGCACGCATAAGCAGAATGCAGTAAGATAAACCTAAAAAAAAAACCTTATGTCTATAGGGTGGATAATATTTTACTTACTCCCGTAAAATATTATTATTATTACTTTTTTACATATTAAATACTAGTAGACTTCACCCGCTCGCTATCGTTTCGCAAAATAAGATATATTCACTACTTGAAATCTTTGAGACAAAACTTTTAAATGAACATTCTTGGCTTGTTATAGTTAAGGAAAGTTTTACAAATAGATGCCAACTTGTCAAGTAAAATGCAAATTTCAAACACTTTTTTGCACTATACGAGACGATATTTCTAAACAGAATTATTTTTTTTTTATGAAAATCAAAACAATTCTCGAATAAAAGAACATTAATCAAGGAATTTAATTAATGAAATAAACGTTTTTAAAGCAATATGCAAATTAGTTAAACCTGGAGAGTGATATTGCCTAGAAGTAGATAATATATAATACAGATATTGAGCTTTTCGTACGTAAATTACAATAACGTAGACCTGGGCTTCCTAATTTCAGAGTTCGTGGGAGAATTGAGCTTCAATTTCGCTATTTACTCATATAGATTCCATAATATGGGTTTTACTTAATTAGCTATTATTTTTCTCTAACTCTTCAAATGTTGAATGTATAACTAATTCTATTTTCCCATCTTTACACTATATTAATTTTATCTACTAAATTGTCCTCTGTCCTGTCATTCACGAAATAAAAATAATTGTTTGTACTGAAAATAAGGACCTACGTACATCAAATCATCTTTAAATTAAGTGGCAGCAGAAGTATAATCGTTGAACCTTTAAAAGGTAACCTTAGACATAAATTCAATACTTAAATGCAGCGATCAATTTTGAGTTCTTCTGTAGTTTATTAATGGCTATCACATCTAATCCTCTCTAGATATTGGGATGATGGCCAAACCAAGAGTCCTCCATAGGAGCTAGCTTAAATGCCGCACGATATGGCGGCTTTTAATCTACCATAGCTGCAATTTCGGATACAAAAGGAAAATAAGAGTTACTTGAATCATGAAAGCAACGACAATGGCTAGTACAATATATTAATATATATTTTTAACCTCGCATAATCTGGTAACCCT